TGAATTGTATTCTAGTAGTCTTAGATCACAAATTGTTACGATTATTCTAATTTTGAGAAGTAATTGGGTTCTTTTTTATTAACCAAATTAATGCTTAGGAATAAAGACTTTTCATATTATTCTTTTAAACCATTATGATTTATCATTAACGAATATAAATAATTTGTTTAGTTTTGTATTAAAGACCATGCAGTATTTTCAATTAGAGTTTTCGAAAACTAAATTTACACGTTTTTACTTTAAAGTAGGATTTTAATAAGTATGACCTCTGAAATAAAGACACTTCAATATTTTTCTTTATTACCAAGCATGAGATCTGTCGTGGCTTGGACAGAGCACTCGCTTGTCAAATGTGGTGTTCCGAGTTCAAATCCCTGAGTTGACTTGTCATGCGAATTAGGCTCTTGGATCACTCCGACCATTATGCTGACTTACGTATTGTATACAATTTATTATATTTGTTAAAATAACAGAGTTTTTGTTAATATGACAGAGTTTGTACTTTAAAATAATTATACTTATCTGTTTAAAAACCAGGCGTCAATTTTTAAATAACAGCATTTTTCTGTTAAATAAACGGTTTTATAATGGCACAGCAGCTGATAGTTTTTGTATATTTTAATTCTACTATGAGCAATACATTAATAGTTTTATTATATTTTTTTAAATAACTTTAATATTTTCACTGCGAATTGTAGCTTATTTGGGGGAAAGCTTCAGATTCCTGTATTGAAAAAGTAGACTCTTTATGAAAAGTGGTTGCTCTTTATGAACCTTTATTGAAAAGTGGTTCAAAATAAGGTCAGATACCTATGATCTAAAATCTAAATTATTTTTAGAATAAATAAATTAATGTATTGTAATTTAACGAAACGGTGTAATTAACAGTTTAGTAATGTGAGTCATAAACGTAAAGATCAAAAAAATTACCATTGAGATATTATTGGTGAAAAAAAAAGAGTTAATAACAGACATGAAAATTAGATTATTATGCTAGTGAAAGAGGAAGTAGTGAATTGATGACATCTTTAAAAAAAAAACGAAAAGAAAAGAAAGAAAGAAACAGGACTCGCTTAAGGTTTTATTTCGTAATAGATATAGAGGTTGAATGTATGTTTCTTAACGATGCCATGTTAGGGATTGCGACGCATTATAAAAATCTAGAAATTTCTAAGTAGTCTAATGCTTCATTTCATTCTTATAGGCATTGAAGGAAAGAAATTCGAAATTCTAATAATGACTTTCAATTTAAGAAACTAAAAAAGGGGCTTAAATTTTAAACTTTTTAGCATCTATCTATTATCTACCTTATGTATGAACTATTTTTTAATCGTATCACATCTGTTTGAAAAAATGGTTTAAGATTTGCTTTAGTTTCAAGTTACGTTTTTAGTTACACACTCATGAGAAAAATATATTCTTATAATCTTTTCACTACTTCGCAATTTTGAAATTAAACCATTGAAAGTTTTCCTACTTCGTCAGAAGTTTCAATTAATTGCCGTGACTTTTTTGTATTAAATATTCCAGAAACTTATTCATTTATCGTTAAATGTTGATTAGGCGAAATATATTGTGCATATAATTTTTGCTTAATACAAAATAAAATAAAGATAAAATTTTATATTATAGTTGATATTAAAATTATAAAATAACTGAAATTTATCAGAATGTATAGAAACTTTAGAATCTAGAAACTGTCAGATTTAATCAAGATATCCATTGTTTAGTTGTGTACAATGTAACTTCCATAAAAAGTCATCGAGGTAGTATTCTTTTCAAAATGATTTTTTTTCCTAGAAAAAAATCAAATCGGCCGGTCATAGTAAGGTGAAACAGGGTACACATTTAAACTCTATGGGAAATCTAGAAATACTAGAATTTCAGCGAAAAAGTGTCAGGCATTTGATCTTATAAGACAATTTAAAGTAAATGATGCATGTACTTATTATGTGATATAGTCAAGGCGATACTCAAGAAGAGGAGAGAGAGGGACAGTTGTCCGGAACTGCTGAGGGCCCGACCAAAATTCCTTGCTGAAAATATAGTGCTTATGATATTATTTTTTTGTGAAAGAAAAATGCAGAGAATTCCCTTACACTGTTAGAAATTTCTCCGAAAAAATGGCTAAAAAACAATCTATTAAATGGTTATTTTACCATATTTAATCAAAACAGTCAAATAACCATAAAAAAAATGGTAATCAAACTGTTAAGTTTGAGAAAAACTGTTTATTAACTGCTTTCACCAAATACGGTTTAACAACCAGAATTTAATCGCACCAACTAGGACGACCTAATGAAGCTTCTTAGTTCTTTGCAAATGCATACATATCATGGCCGAGCGGGCTTATTTATCAATCTCATGACCGGCAGAACTGGAATTCGAGTGCTAGTGTTGACACCACCATATTTCCTTCATTACCTTCAACACGTGAAGAATTTCCAGTGTCCGGCACTCTCCAATGCCCATTACCTTACGAAAAGCCGAGCTCCTATAGCTAAGTAAATAATTAACTATTTTTACGTTTTTGAAAAATGCTAGTTGTAAATGGTTAAAATACCGTATAGTTTTGTATTCATGGTTTTATAACCATATTTTTTTGCAAATGGTTTCAAAACCATAAAGGATAAGAAATGTTCTTTACCGTAATCTTTACTTTTAATCGGATAAACAGACATCTGCCAGTTATTTTACCATAATTTAAGAAGGAAAATTTTAACAGTGTATATCTGTATAAAAACTACTGTCTTGAATAAAGTGCCTTCAAAAAGTCTACAAAATATGAAAAGGAGTCCTTTTGTGATTTGAAAAAGAAGCCTGCAAAAACTTTTGTGCTGGTGCCGGTAAAATTTTTGTTCAGTTTTGAATGTAATTGTCTTCTTCCTTTACTGCACTGCAACCTTCGTGACACACATCAAAGAGTACCCGGTCTTACATCGAGAGCCGAGATTATCGAAACGAAACAGAACAGTTCCACTGTTGGACGAAATCTTTATCTATTGATAGGGTATGAATCTTTAATAAACGTATAATAAGCTGGACTAAAAATAATTTTTGTAACTCTAATGACCAATAAATGAGGATAGCTTAAAAACAAGAGAACATTGGAAAATTGACATGGCAAAATAAATTTATCTTCACAGACGCCGTGAGTTAATCAACAACGACAAGCCAGTATTATAGGTCCTTCTGTTACGAATTAATTCTTTTTGGCGGCGTCAATTCGTCGCCAATCAAATTATATTTTATTTCAGTTGTTCTCGATACACTCATGCCTGAAAGAGCATTTCTTGAAAGCTCCTATTTCTCATATTTTGTTGTTTTGTTTCAGTCTAATTATTACTTTTTTCATTGTTACGTTTGTTAATAAATATAGAAGCACATATATTGATTGTTTTCTTACTGACCAGGGCATCAAATGGTAGAGATATACGCATATCCCGAAACTCGAAATATATTTTCTATCACCTTCTTTACTTGTAATTCAGAGTTTGTCCGCTAGAAAATAGAACTAATTTCCAGGCAATCATGTTACTCGGTAATACCCTACTCTCCCATATAATAAATTGATAATCATATTTCATTCAGAAAATGAAAAATAATTTGAGAAAACATTTTAATTCAGCAAAACAAAAATTTAACGCAACATTTTTATTTCATCAGTTTAACTGTGTTTTTCACCTTTTATACATACTCGATTAAAAAGTTTTTAATCAAGAAAACGTTATCGCTTCAGTTTCTTGGGATTATTTTTTTAACGTACTTCAATTGCTTTTATTACACTTTTTTTCAGTAGTTTTAATATTTAAAAAAACCTACATGAGAGATTTCTTGAAAAAGTCAACATAAATCTTAGTAATAATGTGTTGGATAAGATTAAAATAAGTCATGCATGATTTAAAAAAATCAAACTTTTTATTTGTTAAGAAAAAGAGAGAAAAAAAAACAGAATCTATTTCACGTCTATAAGATGAGCAAAGTTTTAATTTATGCCTAAATTGAAGAGTTTCAAATTTAGCTCGATCGGTTCATTGATAGACCATGAATTGTTTTCTCGTCACTTCTCGTTCTATCTCACTTGATATACGAGTTCCTAATAAAAAAAATTACTCACGAATAAAATACTGAGATGAACTTAAATTGCATAACAGCAGAAGTAGCTAAAAATGACGAAAAAATAACATAAATCAAAGCAAAACCAACAAAACAAAGTGTGTTATGAATTCGTGTGACTTTTATTGTCATTGTAAGGAAAATATTCAATTGAAAAGATGTATATTAAGTTAATGGAGCCTAAATATAGAAATATTTAACTGTAACCCGTTGACCAAATAAATAGATGTCGCTAGAGCATGTAAATTATCCCACGTACTGAAGAAAGACATGTTAATAACATGTTCTCATTGGAGATAGCACGTATGTTGCTCTGCAATTTTATATTATTCTCGGTTTCTGTTTAAACTAACCTTTCTTCTTCTTTTCTAAGAAACCCTTAAAATCATTGAAGAATATATTCTGCATTAGTAACGGTGTTAAACTGAGAAATGATTGTTTATTTTATTTTTGATGAATGAATATTCTCTTAAAAAATTGTTTTAATCGGTGAAGTGCTTGCTCAGTATTTTACTTGTGGATGAATACCTTTAAAAAGTTGTTTTTCACTGAGAAACGCTTGCTTAACATTTTACTTGTGAATGAATATTTTTTTAAGAAAAATTGTTTTAAAGTGATAAAAGCTTTTTCAATACTTGTGAATGAATAAGTTTAGAAAATAGTTTTAAACTGAGAAACGCTCGGTCAGCATTTTATTTGTGAATGAATAGCTTTTTGAAAGTTGATTTTTACTGAGAAACGATAGTTCAATATTTTACTTGTGAAAAACTACTTGTTATATTTACTTGTTATATTTGGAAATTTTTTTTTAAACTGAGAAACGCTGGTTAAGGATTTTATTTGTGAATAAATATGTTTTAAAAGCTGATTTAAACTGAGAAATCAGGTTAGTTCCGTATTTTACTTGTGGATATTTTTTTTAAAAAATAGTTCCAAATTGATGAAAGCTTTCTCAATATTTGTGAATGAATAGCTTTAATGAATAGTTTTCAACTGAGGAACACTAGATCAGATATTTACTTGTGACTGAGTGTCTTTAAAAAAAATTTTGTCTTCGCAATGCTTTCTCCAAAACAAAACATAAAGGAAAATCACAATCAATTTGAAATTAATTATTATTGCAACTTGTTTTTCATTCATGTACGTGGTCTGCGTTCAAAATTCTAATCTAAGAAGGAAAATTTTGAGTGTTTTTAAATGAATAAAGATGACAGAAAGAAGCAGAATCGCCACTAGTGTGCGCATGTCTAATTATGCTACTCGAAAATATCGAAGTCGTTCTCAGTCAAATACTAAGGATATAAAAAAAGCAGCTCCTGCTGTGATATATCCTTCACAACAAAACCCAGATAAGATATCCTATGGATATATTAATGCTGCTTTGAGTGTTGAGAGCATTTCCGAACAAGCACTTCAGACCAAAACATGTTCTTTAAGTTCAAACCCCTCAGGGAATAGTTGCCCCGACTTTCTGGCCACTACAGTTGAAAATGTTGTGTTTCGCGTGATACAAGGTAGTCTGCATGACCTTCGAGATGATGTTGGAAAACTACACCGAACTTTATCTGACCTGGGTAAGAATATTTTTTAATTGATGAATATAACTATGAATTACAGAATTTTATTTTGATATTAATCTATACTTGAGTCTATTACAAAATGGATGAATTGTTTCAATTTTTAAAAACAGAATTTTTAAAGATTCTATTTAACATTTTTTTTTAAGAATAGAACGAGGAGTTCAAGATAAAAATAAATGACCAAATCCATGTTACCTAAATTCATGAAATATAGATATTAAAAGTCAGAAAGAGAAAAAAAAAATTCAGGTCCATTAAATTAAAATTATGTTTTACAGAAACGATTAAAAATTTTGCTTATATTTTCATTTAAGAAGTTATTTCGTTATTAAATTTAAGAAATTATAGTAATTGCACCTCTATTTAAGAAGTAGTTAATTTTTATAATTTTTTTTAAGCATTTTTATAAAATTATGTCTTAAAAAAACTAATAATCAAGATATATTAATATTAAGAATAGTTAAGATAAAAATTTTTATTCTGTGCATGTTGTTTATATTAATTTACTATGATATTTTATGGTATTGGCAAATTAATAAATAATTTTAATTATTTGTTATATAAAAATATCATAAATGAATTCCATATTTATTTTTCAATTATAAGAAAATATTTTGATTCCAAGCCTTAATATAATTTAAAATCCTTTAAACAAAAATATCCCTAAGTCATAAACTTAAGGAACGTGTCTACAAAGTAGTGAAAACCGTATAAACTTTCAATGAATTATTTTAATATTTATTTTTCATTTTTCATTCCCCATACAGATCGAATTATGAGTAAAAAATTAATTACAAAAATTTGTTTATTCAAAATTTATCTCACAAAACAGCTATTTGAATAGTTTTTGTAAACATTTTAATTTTTTGTTTAAAAAGGACATTTCATCGTTGAAATAGTCGAAAAGAGATTTAAAAAAAAGTAGCAAGCTATTTCTCTCTTTTTTAGAAAGAAAAAAATGACAAGATGTAATCAAAATCTTTGAGGATTTAAAAAATGTATTTTAAGAATTGGATTTAAATGACATTCTATGTATTTATATCTAGGAATTAGTGGGTAACAGTTTTTCACTTTTGAACTTAGCAATTTTTTTCTAAAAAATATAAAGATTTCTCTATCTAAGAAAATGCCGAATATACACTTAAGATGTTTAAGCTTATTCATAGTTGTCATAAAAATGTATCTCGGTATTTTTTAACCGATAAAATATACCGATTTTTACAGTGATTTCATTTTTTACTGTCATATTTAGTTATTATGTAGGTATTTAAAAAAGTAGTTTACTTTCAAAATTGAAATAATTATTGTTTTACTAACATTTTTCCAACATATAATATTTTCTAGAAAATTCATTTAATTTTCATATTTGATTGATATGATATCTTGATTTTCATTATGCAGCTTATGAAAATATTATTTTCGCATAGATAAATATCTCACATTTTTCATAAAAAATTTTATGATCTTATTTATAAAAATTTATTGAAAGCAATATATAAGACTGAAAATGTTTTTAATGGTTTTATTGCAATTCTGCTATCATTAAGATAAAGGAATTAAAGAGATTAAAAGTGCATGCATTTTAAGGGATGATCCAAAGTGTACCACTTTTCTTTTCCAAAATTTTTTTACACATTTAATTATTTTTTTTTTATTTATTTACTTTTTTTCAAAATTTAATATTTTAAAGTACAAGAATTTAAAGTACGGTAGATTTTTTTTCTAATCTAACTTTTTTAAATCGTAGAATAAGCAAATTCCTACAAAACACTGGTTTTTACCTAGGATTTTGCTATTCACAGTGAGATTCCCTAAAACTTTTAAGGCCTCCTCAGCGCCGGCTGCCATAGGTTGATGACCTCTACTAGCAAATAGAGAAGATGAGAAAAAAATATTTGTCATTAAAATAGTTTTTATGTCAAATTACAGAAATTTGAAATTTCTTAACATTAAAGCCACATGGGCAATCGTATCTAAATCATTGTAGCTTAGAAATAAGTCTCATCATTTTTACTTCAAGTTCGAGGAAAAGTTACATTTTTAAAGTCATATTTATCATATAATATATAATACTATTCTAATTTTATAATTTTTAATTGCTCTTTTTGTTCAAAACTTAAATGAGAATTTACTTATCTTGAAAGTTAGGAGTTATAATTTGATCTATATAGTAGAAGTTTTCACTATTAACCTAATATAATGCATCTATTTTTATTGAAATATTTCATTATGAAATACAATTAATAAATTTTATCTTTGACGGTTCGTAATATTCAGACTTCTTTGTTAGGGATGACGCAGTAATCAAAAAACCGGATGAAGATGCAGTAAAATCTCAAAATATTTATAAAATTGAATGTTATTTCGATATCATATAAACATTTTACTGCAAAGTATTGATACATTTTATAAATAAAGATTATATTTCTAACTAATTAACGAAAATATATATGCGAAGTGATTCCTTTATTATACGAAAGAGATTATTGAATGTTCTCATCTGTTAAGAAGGGCTAATCTATAATTAAAATATAATTCTTTTTAGGTCCCGGTTTAAGATCCCTTTATTATATTTAGCCATTATTTTAAATGTTACATACCTATTGTGAGTAGATGATTTATAAAAAAATATTCAAGCAGAAATATTAAGAAAATATTAGATACTTTTCTAGTATTCCTAAATTACAATGGAAAACAAATGTTTTGTTGCATTTATACGAATACTTGATCTTGTCTAATTCGGCTATGAGGATTTCAAATTTAAAATTCGTTTTGCTCCAATAGCTATAGATTTTTTAAATTACATTCTTAGTCTAATTACTGACGAAATTTAAACGTTTAAAAACGTTATATATAACGTAACATGATAGGAACTTATATAATAGGATGACATATAATAATAAAACAGGAAATTGCGCTAATAATGCGACAAACTTCTAGGGGAGTTAGGATATAACATCAGGATTAAAACTGCTTAGTAACCCATACCCAGAAATGCCTTTGTACACGATTAGGCTCGCTTACCTAATCAGCAGCAACACGATGAAACAGTCCATAATAAGGAAGCTCCCCTTGCGCCGTATGACAACATTTCCGGGTATGGGTCCCAATGCAATTTTAATTCTGAGGATGTGCTCTAACTCCCCTAGAAGTTAGTCACATGCACGCAACTCTCTGATGTATATGACGTTTTTAAACGTGCACATATCGACAAAAAAAATTGATTGAAAATATCATTAAAAAAACTTTAGCTTAAAAAGGTAAACCGATTGTAGATTTGAAATCAGCGATAAAAAAGCATATAAGATCTGTTAAAATAGTCTCTTGCAACCAAAAACGAAAAGAAATTGTTCGAAATTGTCGGAAAATTGCATTTTCCTTATTTCATATTTCGGTTGATGGCTAAAAACAATGAGGATAATTGTCAGATAATTGCCAATATTTACTGAAAAAAATGATTGATATCTAATATCGATAAGTATCTCTTAAAGGTGACTTTAAATTTAATGAAATATTTAATATATTTGTTTTGAACAGATGGAAAAATCCTAATCTAATACATGAATAAATTTGCTATTAAACTCTTAAATAACAAGCAGGCAGACTTCTTACGTACTGAATGTGGAACTTTGGAAATATGGTCCAAATAGAATGAAACAAAGAATGTTCCAGAACGGGCAAAAGCTAAAACAACTTATTCATTTCTTGCGTATTTCGCCATTTCACGGAAAAATTTTGACGGAATCAAAAATGTTTGCACATATTTATAAAATTCGTTCTTTAACGATAATTTTATGTAATAAATAATTTAAAAAATTAAATATTAATTTATATTATTTTATTATAATGATAGAAAATGTTGAATTGTAAGGTATTTAACGTTGTTCACCATTTTGAACTATGCAATTCTAAATAACAAAATACAAGCATAGTTTTTTATAAAAAAGTTTTTATATCTTACTGTTCAAAATATCTTCAACCAATATTAAACGTAATAATAAATGATAATTATTAAAAAAAATTTACATGGTATTTTCTAGCACACGTTTTTAGCATGCATATAATATATATATNCGTTTATAGCAAAATTTAAAACAATGGCTAGCTTTTAACCAATCAGAAAATTCCATTTCGACTTTCACTGATATCGCTGGAACGGTTTATCGCACGGGATAAAAAGTATCCTATGTCCTTCTCCTGGCTCTAAACTACCTCCCTGCCAATTTTCAGCTAAATCGGTTCAGCCGTTCTTGAGTTATAAGTGAAGTAACTAACACGACTTTCTTTTATATATATAGATTATAATATTAAATCATTTTGTTTTAAAATATTACGTTATTTCAATTTTATTTTGTAACCATCGTTGAACAGATGACCCAATTTCTGGGTTTACGACTACTAATGTTCAACTCCGTAGCCTTGTAATTTTGAACCCAATACAGAAGACAAGCGAACTCCTGGATCAAGTATTGGGAGAAATTCGTTCGGTTGAGTACTTTTTGATGGAACTAACCCGCACTTGCGTTACATGGAGAGGAAGACCACGAGAACCTCCCATGGTTAGCCTGACTGGAAAGAGACTCTAACCCATGTTCCGTCTACCACTGAGGGTATTTCACATCAGCACTGTGGTCAGTGTAAGCCGGATGCAGATTCGCAATGACCAGCCATCGGTGGGATTCGAACCCGGTTCACCTCATTGGAAGGCGAACGCTCCTTTCCCTTAGCCATTGCGGCTCTTCATTATTTCAATTTTATTTTATAACCGTCGTTGAACAGCAGATTCAATTTTTGAGTTTACGACTACTAATGTTCAACTCCATAGCCTTGTAATTTTGAACCAATCTAGAAACAAGTATTGGGAGAAATTTTCCTTTCATGAAGGACTTTTTTATGAAATTAACCTGCAATTGCATTCCTTGGAGATATAAACAACGAAAACCTGACAGCAAAGGGACTCTAACCCAAGATCCATGCCCCACTACCCCCAGAGGTATTGATTTGTTATGAGAACGTGGAAGACTTTGCGACTCGACAAATTTAACGTGCATCAGTCACTATTTACTACACGGGGAGTCTTCAGCCGGCCGGAAAACCCACTAACTGTTAGTCATGAGCCTAGTGCCCGACCAACCAGACTATCCCGGCCTCCCTCGTTAAAAATTTTATAACCGTCGTTGAACAGTCGGTCCAATTTTGCGTTGACGACTACTAATGTTCCACTCCGTAGCCTTGTAATTTAGAACCAATCTAGATGACAAAGAAACTCCTGGATCAGTACCCCCAGAGGTATTGATTTGTTATGAGAGCATGGAGGACTTTGCGACTCGACAAATTTAACGTGCATCAGTCACTATTTACTACACGGGGAGTCTTCAGCCGGCCGGAAGACCCACTAACTGTTAGTCATGAGCCTAGTGCCCGACCAACCAGACAATCCCGGCCTCCCCCGTTAACAATTTCATAACCGTCGTTGAACAGTCGGCCCAATTTTGGGTTGACGACTACTAATGTTCAACTACGTAGCCTTGTAATTTAGAACCAATCCAGATGACAAGGAAACTACTGGATCAGTATCCCCAGAGGTATTGATTTTTTCTTTGCGATTCGACAGATATTACGTGCATCAGTCGCAATTTACTACACTGGGAGTCTTCGGCCGGCGGGGATCGAACCCACGAACTCTTGGGCATGGTTTCAGTGCCCTACCAACTAGGATCCCTCTCCCGTTAGCAATTTTTTAAAATTTTATTTCATTATATAGCCGTCGTTGAACAGCCGACCCAATTTCATGGGTCTACGACAACTAATGTTCAACTCCGTAGCCTTATAATTTTAAACCCAATCCAGAAGACAAGGGAACTCCTGGATCGAGTACTGGGAGAAATTTGCCCTCGTGGAGATTTTTTTTTTTGATGGAGCTAACCCGCATTTGCGTTACATGGAGAGGAAGACCACATGAACCTCCCACGATTAGCTTGACGGCAAGGGGACTCTAACCCATGATCCGTCTACCACTGAGGATATTTCACTTCAGCACTGTGGTTGGTGCAAGCCGGATGCGGAATTCGTCTGGAATTCGAACTCGGTTAGTCTCATTGGAAGGCGAAAGCTCTATCCCCTGAGTCATTGCGGCTCGCCCCGGTATCAGTTGTCTTAAATGACTGTGTACACTTATAACAAATTGATTAATCTAGCTTACTCTAATATGTATTTTAATAGTCAAAAACCCAATTAATCCAATCATTATATGTTTATCTCGAAAAAGAACGTTTTTGTGTCTAACTTTATAACTAATTAATTAACATATTTGAGAGCTAATTAATTAGCACATATTTGAGATCAACTATTTAAACCATTATAATTGGCACTTAATATAAGAAAATTCAATAATTAGAGTAAAACGTATTTAGGTTGAAATGTTTTTTTTCCTAACTCATTGTACAATTGTCTGTACTATCAAGAGGCCGTGGTAGCCCAGTGGTTAGTGGCTTCGATCCTCTCACCCGAGTACATGCGATTTACGTGCTTGTAAAAACTGTGGAATCGAAAGTCCTGCGGTCGATCGCTGAGCAGAACCTGGAGAAAATTTCCTTCCCCTTCAGATCTACGTCTAAATTGAGGAAGTGGTCTCACAAATTGAGATTGCATGTCTTCGGACCATCCTCAGAGTTGTAATCCAGACCATTGCCAGTAGCCCATTGTGCAGCTCTAGTGTGACGTAAACAAAGTACCTACTATGTACTATTAAGAATCTACGATTTAAATTAAACATTATTGTTTCAAAGAAATGTTAATATAAATTTAATAATCTTTGCAAAATTTACCATTTATGTCATTAATTATTATTTCAGCAACAAAAATGACGAAAGCAAAACGCATTGCCATTATCGGAGCTGGTCCATGTGGACTGACTGCTGCAAAATCCTGTTTGGAAGAGAATTTAGAGGTTGTGGTGTACGATAAGACAGATAACATTGGTGGTCTCTGGTGTTACAGAGATTATGATGAAGAAGGAATTCCGTCAGTTATGAAATCCACAGTCATCAATACAAGTAAAGAAATGAGTGCTTTCAGTGATTTTCCACCACCGAAACATTTTCCGAATTTCATGCACAATTCAGTTATGTTTCAGTATTTTAAACTTTACGCTGAAAAGTATGGAGTTCTTCGGCATGTTCAGCTCTTGACTGAAGTAGTTAAAGTATGAGAATTTTTTTCATTCAATATAAATTCATTTCCGTTTTGTTTTAAATTCATTCTATACAACACCTCCTAAAAGAGAGAAGGCCTCTGCACGGATTAATTTAGTAGTGTGACGTAACGAGCATAAACTGCGTGGAAGATTTTAAGTAAAGCTATCACAACGTCCGTATTACAAAACTGTGCAGTAGGGAAAGATGTTACAACATGCGGACTACTAATGCATCGGATTTCTCGTTAATAGTAGTCCTTGCGAAGGTCTTCTCTTCTCTGGGAGGTGTTGGTCTATATCTGTAATTAATAATAAGTTCAATAGCCTGAAAAAGTTATAATTTATTTATTTTCAAAATATGGTTATAAAATGACATGCACTTAAATTATTTTCTTTTAATTTCATACTACTGCAAATTACCTTAAATCTAATGCCGGAATAATATTTTTATATTTAAGGATAAAGACTTGATAGTTATAAAACCGCAATCTATCAAAATGTATATTAAGATTTTTCTTAAGAAAATATGATTTACGATTTTTATTAGTTTGAATTTATGTGTACATATTAACTTCCAGAAATGCTTATGATCTACACTATAAAAGAATTGGTGTATAGTAGGTACCGTTTTTGGTGTGGAGGTAAACTAAATGCATTTTTAAATACGGAACTGTAGTTATCGTGCAAAAAATTACATAAAATTGACAAAATAGCAATTATTTGAAAAAATTCGAGCGAATATATTACTAAAAATGTGTTAGTTTTTAAACGAGATGTTTTTGAGATGAAACCGTTAAATTCATTCTAATGGGCATGAAAATATGTGTTGTTTGTAAACAAACAAAAAAAAATTAATAAATAAATAAATGAAACTATAACAGTGAAAAAGTAAATAAAAATGTTATACACTGTAAAAAATGTTAGTTTATCTCAATGCTAAAAATAGCAACTATACAACAAAACTTTTTGCAGTGTATTTGTTATTGATTTAAATTGTTTATGATGCTAATTTTTAAAATTTCAAAAGAGAAATTTAATAAAAATTCCTACCAGATAAGAAGTCAAATAATTGAAATTTAAAATGCCGAATATATACCATGCCTCACTCAAATTGTTATTATTGAAAAATATTGGAAAAAGCAACTGCCATTTGTTATTTATAAGAAGCGGCGAGCAGAGGTATAAGACTGCACGGGGCTAGCTGCTCCAGTAGATGCCCTGAAAATTGAAGCTAAGTTCTCCAAAGAGGGGGGAGCTCAAAAAAAAATTTTTAAAAGGTTGAAAAGCTATAAATTTAAATAAATCAATTTTTTATAAAGATGCTAGGAGAAATTATTCTATGGCAAACAAGTTATAATTTCTAACAGAATATTCTTAATGGATGTTTAAACTTTAATGTCCCAATGTAATTATAAGTAAAAATTTAATGTAGAAATGCAATTATTTGTATACGTTAATGTAGTTTAATATATATAAGTAAAACTTTAATGTAATTTCAAGTAATGTATTTAATGTATATGTTTGAAAATCATGTTAATTTTTATGAAAATAGTTTCCTCGAACCTATTTTTCGTAAAAATTTACATGAATATAATTCATATGTTAAAAAAATTTTATTCTATAAGAAATATTAGTGTTTAAAATGTTAGTTTTTAAAATTTCAGTGCCTTTGGTCCTCCGTTGGGTGTTATGTATCTGTAATTAGCAATTAATCTTAATCGAAACCAGTGTAACCTTATAAATTAATCGTAATCGAAACGAGTCCTAACTGTAACCACCTTTGAACTGCATCCTTCGTTTTTGTTTATATCTTTAACTGTGATATGTGCATTACCCTACTAAGTATCCTTTATTAGTAGAAGTAGATGATTATTTAGTAGAAGATACTTGACCATCAATAAATAATCATTAATGTTCAACNCTTGTCTAATAATTAATAAATAAATTTTGTACCCTCCTTCCCGACCTATGACCTGTTTTAATCCTTCCACTCGGCAACGACGTTATATATATATATATACATTATGAGAAACCTAACCTTGGGTACCTCCTTTGATTGGATGCACCCCTGTTTCTATGAAAAAATCTTCGTAATTCATATACATTAATTGCTCAATTTCAGATTTCAAAAAGTGATGATTATGAAAGGAGTGGTAGATGGAATGTTTTTTCCAGAAGTCTTAAAGATGGGACGACAAATGAAGAGGAATTTGATGGTGTTTTACTAGCCACTGGACATCATTGTGTACCTTTAAAGCAAGATTTTCCTGGACTTCAACTTTTTCAAGGTCATGTCATACATTCTCACAGCTTGAAAAAAGCAGCTGGATACGAAGATAAAAAAGTGTTAGTAATCGGAATCGGTAATTCGGCAGTTGACGCAGCAGTGGAAATAAGCACCGTTGCTAAACAAGTAAATGACAATTTAACATTTGTTCCTTTTATATTGCTCAGTCAATGAAAATATATAAGTTTAAATTAATTTAAAATATTTATAAGTTATATTATTATAAAATATATAAAGTTAAATTAATATGAAATATTTATTGCAATCAATTTTCAAACTACAGGATGTATGCTTCATAATGGCCGCCATTAATTTAGCTGTTTAAAATCTTTAATTTATTCGTATAGTAGGGCTCGAATGCATTTTTCTTTCTCTGAGAACTCAATCTAATCTTCGTACGCAAATTAACTGAGTTCCTCTTTTGCTCTCATTGATCTGATCAGTGCTTGTTACGATTATGAACACGTTTTCTAATTTATAATGTAATGTGCACATATTTAAAGGAGTCTTAAAATATATAAAGTGCGGTCTTTACTCAACACCCAATAGTATACATAATTTTGTGAAAAACAAACGTGTAATGCATCAACGGTAACTGTGCATCTTTTTTTCTCTCCTTATTCAAAGTTCTGCATGATTTTTCAATACATGTGACATAGCAATAATAGCGTTATTGACTTCAGTTATTCATAGTTACAAGACGTAAAAAATTATTATGATTAGTTATATTATTTTTAGTTGTCAAATTAGTATTGTAATCTAATATTATTTTTATCATTTTTTTTCTCTTTTTATTACTCAAAATAATAACTTAATATTTTTTAAAAAATCTAACTTGTACCACAGAGAGAAAAAAATTATAAGAAAATTACCGTACTGCATCGTAATGGCATTTTTGGTTTAAAAAAGAAAAAAAAAGAAGAAAAAGCAGAAATCTGGTTAAGGAAACGGTATATAAACCATTCATTTGGTAATTTTTTCATTCATACGGTAACAGTTTAATGGAAAATCTGAATTTCAAAACTTTAATTTCTATTACCACACATTTAGTAGAAAATGCAAAACTGAAAAGTAAAATTTAAGAAATAAATGGTTTTTATGCTATTCTCTAAGATATCATACTAAAATTACTACATTTTTCCACATTTCCCAAATTTTATCATAGATGTATTGCAAAACCATATATTATTATTTATTTTACCAAAATAAAACCAAAACTCATCCGTAAAAATTTCAGAGTTATTTGATGTTCCCATAAAGCCGAAACCAAGGTTAATTTTGCCATATTCTGATAGATTTGACCTTTTTTTGTTTGTCTGTGTATGATCAGTAGCGTAATGAGGACTAGCATTAGGGGCAACATATTTTACGTATTTTCAGCTGTTAATTGAAAAATTTTACGCTTATATTATTAATCTTATACCAAAAGAACAGACATAAACAATTGAAATGAAACTTCTATTTGTAATAGTTTGTTTCCAACAGTGATTCTTATAAAATTACTTTAAACGCATTTTGACTCATTTGCATGCATAATTTTCAAAACAAAAGATAAAATGCAAATTTTACTTTTCTATTGTTTGCGTTCTATTTTTATTAAAAATAACGTAAGTGACGTAAATAACGTAAATAACGTAATAACGTAACGTAACCAACATTTTGCATTTAGTAGGGGAGAGTGGGGTCAATTGTAACATTTTTTACTTAACTATTTTTAACTAACAAAAAATCCAATATATTATTAGTATTAATTGACAGACGAGTAAAGTAGACTATCCTCTACTAGAAAAAAAATAAATACCTGATTTTAAATATTATTATATTAGTTATTAAC